TCCAGTCGCCGCCAAGCTCCCGACGGTGGAGATCAAACCCTCCACCCCAATTCCTGGCTCTTCCACATAAATATCATCTGTACTCCTAAACGCTCCATGAATTACCACTATAATACCCGCCAACAAGATCGAACCGAGCAAATTCAACCACACAGAGGTCACGAGTAGAACGACGACAGTAAAAGTAAACAACACCATCAGGGTTACGCGTTCATCCAACACATGGCCGCAGATCTCTAATGGCTCCTCGCGGAACAAGTAGAGGTAGAACCAAGCGACGAACAGAACCATGAACACCATCAATGAATACGGCTCCCATAAAAGGCTAAGGAGAACAAATGCGACGACGATAATTGCGTAGTTCACGCGGAAGTAGAGGGCGTTGGATTTGATGCGGAAGAGAGCGTCGCGGAACGAGGATGGGCGTTTGAAAGCGTGGAATTCGATGAGTTGTTTCCAGGGACGGCGAGTGGCGATGAAGGATTGAGCGGTGGCGGCGACTTGATTGATGAGTGCGGCTTTTGATGCTCTCAGACTGGAGCTTGATGGTGGAGAATCGGAAGGGGCTAGGTTTTCTGAAGACATTGTGATTATGTAAGTACCCTTGATAAACCCTAACAAACCCTAATTCCCAGTTACTGAGAAAAAGTTGATCTCAAAATCAACCGATCGCTACCATTTGCTTTGTTTCAGAACTTCTTTAATGGTGATTTGGCAGTATCATTTTGTTACAAATCTTTTTTCTCATATACATATATATGTGTGTGTATATTTATATATATATATACTTTTGAGAAGATGAATGGCTAGCTACTGAAGTTGTAGATCTGGAATGATGAGATACATTGAGTGTGATCAATTATCTTCATGGGTATGATTGTTCATTTTTCATTTTTCGTTTTTTCATTTCTCATAATTAAAGCATGGAGAACGTTGGATAATCTCTTTTATATATGTGGTGTGTGTGTGTATATATATATATATATATATGCATGTTATACATGAAATAGGGTAAATTTGGAGGATGAATAATTACTTTGCAGGAAAATCAAATTTTGTACAATGGATGGAGTTCATATATATGATTAAAGGTGTGACTAATTGTTATTTATTTAATTAATGAATTGATAGAAAATTATAAATGTAATTATAACTTTGATTAATAGTTTATAGAATTTGAACATGTATATATATATATATATATATGATGAACCAAAAAAGTAATAATTAACAATACTGTGATTATGTGGTAAAAATTAACATGTCCTATTTAAAAATTCGAGTACAAACT